CTACAGCTGAACCATCAATAAAGAGATATGGACAATTTCTCCTACATCTATTCTACACCTTAACCATCAATAAAGAGATATGGACAATTTCTCCTACATCTATTCTACACCTTTACCATCAATAAAGAGATGGGGACAATTTCTCCTACATCTATTCTACACCTTAACCATCAATAAAGAGATGGGGACAATTTCTCCTACATCTATTCTACACCTGAACCATCAATAAAGAGATATGGACAATTTATCCTTCATCTATTCTACACCATGTGTTCACCTTAACCATGAATAAAGGGATGGGGACAGTTTCTCTTACATCTTTTCTACACCTTAACCATCAATAAAGAGATATGGACAATTTCTCCTACATCTATTCTACACCTTTACCATCAATAAAGAGATGGGGACAATTTCTCCTACATCTATTCTACACCTTAACCATCAATAAAGAGATGGGGACAATTTCTCCTACATCTATTCTACACCTGAACCATCAATAAAGAGATATGGACAATTTCTTCTACATCTATTCTACACTTTAACCATCAATAAAGAGATATGGATAATTTCTCCTACATCAATTCTACACCTGAACCATCAATAAAGAGATATGGACAATTTCTCCTTCATCTATTCTACACCATGTGTACACCTTAACCATCAATAAAGGGATGGGTACAATTTCTCTTACATCCTTTCTATACCTTAACCATCAATAAAGAGATGGGGACAATTTCTCCTACATCTATTCTACACCTGAACCATAATAAAGAGGAATGGACAATTTCTCCTACATCTATTCTACACCTTAACCATCAATAAAGAGATATGGACAATTTCTCCTACATCTATTCTAAAACTTAACCATCAATAAAGAGATATGGACAACTTCTCCTACATCTATTCTACACCTTAACCACCAATAAAGAGATGGGGACAGTTTCTCCTACATCAATTCTACACCTGAACCATCAATAAAGAGATATGGACAATTTCTCCTACATCTATTCTACACCTTAACCATCAATAAAGAGATGGGGACAATTTCTCCTACATCTATTCTACACCTGAACCATCAATAAAGAGATATGGACAATTTCTCCCACATCTATTCTACACCTTAACCATCAATAAAGAGATATGGACAATTTCTCCTACATCTATTCTACACCTTTACCATCAATAAAGAGATGGGGACAATTTCTCCTACATCTATTCTACACCTGAACCATTAATAAAGAGATATGGACAATTTCTTCTACATCTATTCTACACTTTAACCATCAATAAAGAGATATGGATAATTTCTCCTACATCAATTCTACACCTGAACCATCAATAAAGAGATATGGACAATTTCTCCTTCATCTATTCTACACCATGTGTACACCTTAACCATCAATAAAGGGATGGGTACAATTTCTCTTACATCCTTTCTATACCTTAACCATCAATAAAGAGATGGGGACAATTTCTCCTACATCTATTCTACACCTGAACCATAATAAAGAGGAATGGACAATTTCTCCTACATCTATTCTACACCTTAACCATCAATAAAGAGATATGGACAATTTCTCCTACATCTATTCTACACCTTAACCATCAATAAAGAGATATGGACAATTTTTCCTACATCTATTCTACACCTTAACCATCAATAAAGAGATGGGGACAATTTCTCTTACATCTATTCTACACCTTAACCATAAATAAAGAGATACGGACAATTTCTCCTACATCTATTCCACACCTTAACCATCAATAAAGAGATATGGACAATTTCTCCTACATCTATTCTACACCTTAACCATCAATAAAGAGATGGGAACAATTTCTCCTACATCTATTCTACACCTTAACCATCAATAAAGAGATGGGGACAATTTCTCCTACATCTATTGTACACTTTAACCATCTTTAACCATCAATAAAGAGATATGGACAAGTTCTCCTACATCTATTCTACACTTTAACCATAAATAAAGAGATGGGGACAATTTCTCTTACATCTATTCTACACCTTAACCATCAATAAAGAGATGAGGACAATTTCTCCTACATCTATTCTACACCTTAACCATCAATAAAGAGATATAGACAATTTCTCCTACATCTATTCTACACCTTAACCATCAATAAAGAGATACGGACAATTTCTCCTACATCTATTCTACACCTTAACCATCAATAAAGAGATGGGGACAATTTCTCCAACATCTATTCTACACCTTAACTATCAATGAAGAGATATGGACAGTCTCCTACATCTATTCTACACCTGAACCATCAATAAAGAGATATGGACAATTTCTCCTATATCTATTCTACACCTTAACCATCAATAAAGAGATGGGGACAATTTCTCCTACATCTATTCTACACCTTAACCATCAATAAAGAGATGGGGACAATTTCTCCTACATCTATTCTACACCTGAACCATCAATAAAGAGATATGGACAATTTCTCCTACACCTTAACCATCAATAAAGAGATATGGACAATTTCTCCTACATCTAGCATACACCTAAACCATCAATAAAGAGATATGGACAGTCTCCTACATCTATTCTACATCTTATCCATCAATAAAGAGATGGGGACAATTTCTCCTACATCTATTCTACACCTTAACCATCAATAAAGAGATGGGGACAATTTCTCCTACATCTATTCTACACCTGAACCATCAATAAAGAGATATGGACAATTTCTCCTATATCTATTCTACACCTTAACCATCAATAAAGAGATGGGGACAATTTCTCCTACATCTATTCTACACCTTAACCATCAATAAAGAGATGGGGACAATTTCTCCTACATCTATTCTACACCTGAACCATCAATAAAGAGATATGGACAATTTCTCCTACACCTTAACCATCAATAAAGAGATATGGACAGTCTCCTACATCTATTCTACATCTTATCCATCAATAAAGAGATGGGGACAATTTCTCCTACATCTATTCTACACCTTAACCATCAATAAAGAGATGGGGACAATTTCTCCTACATCTATTCTACACCTGAACCATCAATAAAGAGATATGGACAATTTCTCCTACATCTATTCTACACCTTAACCATCAATAAAGAGATATGGACAATTTCTCCTACATCTAGCCTACACCTAAACCATTAATAAAGAGATATGGACAGTCTCCTACATCTATTCTACACCTTATCCATCAATAAAGAGATGGGGACAATTTCTCCTACATATATTCTACACCTGAACCATCAATAAAGAGATATGGACAATTTCTCCTACATCTATTCTATACCTTAACCATCAATGAAGAGATATGGACAATTTCTCCTACATCTATTCTACACCTTAACCATCAATAAAGAGACATGGACAATTTCTCCTTCATCTATTCTACACCTCAACCATCAATAAAGGGATATGGACAATTTCTCCTACATCTCTTCTACACCATGTACACCTTAACCATCAATAAAGAGAAGGGGACAATTTCGTCTACATCTATTCTACACCTTTACCATCAATAAAGGGATCATGGGGACAAGTTCTCCTATATCTATTCTACACCTGAACCATCAATAAAGAGATATGGACAATTTCTCCTACATCTATTGTACACCTTAACCATCAATAAAGAGATATGGACAGTCTCCTACATCTATTCTACACCTTAACCATCAATAAAGAGATGGGAACAATTTCTCCTATATTTATTCTACACCTGAACCATTAATAAAGAGATATGGACAATTTCTCCTACATCTATTCTAAATCTTAACCATCAATAAAGAGATATGGACAATTTCTCCTACATCTATTCTACACCTTAACCATCAATAAAGAGATATGGACAATTTCTCCTACATCTATTCTAAACCTTAACCATCAATAAAGAGATATGGACAATTTCTCCTATATCTATTCTACACCTTAACCATCAATAAAGAGATGGGGACAATTTCTCCTACATCTATTCTACACCTTAACCATCAATAAAGAGATATGAAGGTCTTAACTAAAGTCAACAGAATCACAGCTTCATGTGAGATTAACTTATTTAAAGATTTTAAAATCTTAGTCCCATGTTTATTGATTTTCTTTAACGAGGAGTTTTGATGCAAAATTTTACAAAAAACATTTAAAATTTCGTATTGTATATTAAACAGTCGTCGATAACAATGTTACACACTGACAAACAGCCCATTGATATATTTATATACGTACAATTAAATCCATATCAAAACGATTAAAAGTATTCATAAGGCGTCAACTAACTTTTTTGCTATGTTGACTTGTTTGTTGATCATGTCTAGCTCATCGTTTTGTTGAGGAACGATGGCGTACGACGGACGACAGGCGGCAGTTGCTGAGAATAGCTCACCTTGCTTCGCAGGCCCACATTACATCCAGTGGCAAATATTGCATGCATCTTCAAGACAAGAACAAGTAAACAAATAGAAGACCTGGATGAAGGGCAGAAAATTGGACTGACACTGGAAAACAATGGCATGTTGGATAGTCAGTGGCAGACATTGTGCCTATCAACAGGCCAAGTACGGTACCTACTGTCTCTATTCTGACTGCGTATTTAAACATCCCACACAGCTAAATGACCTAATATGGCAAGGGTTTTATTGCTTTTCAGAACATAACATATTTCGATACCTCAGTTACCTCTGAGGTAGACAAAATTTATTTTGGCCAATTATACAAAAGCTGTAAACTTATTCAATGATGACTTATAAATTTGACCATCTACATTCGATTCACTAAAGGACAAACACATTAAAATAATTTATATATCTTTCCCATGAAAAAGATACAACCATTGGTGGCCTTCGGCTGTTTTCTCCTCTTTGGTCGAGTTGGTGTCTCTTTGACACATTCTCCATTTACATTCTCAATTAAACCGGATGTTTTCCTAAATGTGTTCTTGTCATTCGTCTTTACTTTACACCATTTTCATGTAACTGGAAATTTCATATAATTGATAATACGCAAACAACACATTAACAAACACTTTTTACACTCAAAACATACTGATAAACACATTTTGAAAATAGTTCTGTACATAACAAGTTTAGTGTTAGCAATAGTTACATTACAGGTTTGCTGCAAGTAATGAAAAACTATAAATAATAACGAGACAGTCCAATATAGGTTCACATTTTAAGTTGTGTCCAATATTTCGACTATGGTACACTATTACATCTAGACCATTACTTTCTGTTACTTTCTGTAACTTTACGAATAGACAGTTTGGTACACTATTAAACTTGACCATTACTCTTTTTAACTCTACGAATAGCGTTTGATTCACTATTTCATCATAGCCATTAAACATTCCTAAACTCTATGAATAGACAGTTTTGTTCTTTATTTCATCTTGGCAATCAAATTCCATAACTCTATGAATAATCAGTTTGATTGACTTTTGCATCTGGTTCCTTTTTATAACTCTATGAAGAGACAGTTTAAGACAGACTTTAATTGGTAGCTGTTTATCTCAATACTAGGACGAAGGCCTCGTACACAAAACTGATCAGTCTACTGCCAATAAGTTGGTATGGTAGGTAGTATGTAAATTTCTAATAAAGTTTATAAATTACTATTTGCAATAAAAACTGCGCATGAGCTTATTTCTCTATTGTGTTGGAATAATTTCAACTTCAATATCCATTTCTGAAATGAAAACAAAATAAATCACAACTGCACAGATAATTTTAAGATTCCGTTTTAAGTTCTACTTTAACAGTTTTACAGAGATACACAATTTTTAAGACCAGTAGAAAAGGAAGCTATAGTGATTGTCATGCAATGGAACATGTTCTCTAAATACTTATGTTTTATGTTTGCATACTTTCATACTGTTGTAAAAAAATATGGAAAAAATCATAACAAATTTTGTGCACAAATTTTGGTTTTAAAAAGGCTAAGAATTCCATCTTACCTGATATTTCATTTTCAATTGATTGAACTTCCTCAGCAGAAATAGTTTTAGCCAAAATTTCATTTAGGTGATCTGTATAAAGTCTTGCTGGTTTGTTAAGTTGATCAAACCTTTTTAAAAGATCACTTAATATGTTACACAACTCATTAAAACGTGTATCTCCAAGTTCAGCTGCCCGTGAGTGTTGTAGTTCATTCCTTGTAAGTCTTATGCGCTCAATATCATCTCCAATAGCTATGTCTGTAACCTGCATGGTTTGCCAATTCCCTCCCCATCCTTTAGTTGGAATATTTTTGTTTAGTTTCCTGTGCTCCTTGTACAAGTATGTTATATCACAATCGCTCCTCGGATGTAGATTTGGTATATCTTGTTTTAATAGGTCATATGAAGCATCAGCAAGAATATTAAGCACAATTATTCCCATCTTTGTAAAATTGATCTGCTCTGTGGTGAACTGAAAACAAATAATAAAAGTAAATAATTGTTATATAAAGTATGTAAAAGGCTTACGTTATCGTGAATAAGGCTACTCCCAGATCTGTACTTAGTGTATTTTTGTTTTGGGGATGTATAAGTACCCTGCCACGTCCACTCTGTGATTTAGCTAGATGTTTTTCTGCTTTGTGTCCATCTGACGAGTTAAACCCCTTTTAACTGATTTTTATAATTTTGTTCTTATGTTGTAATGTTACATCATTGTCCAAAAGGTGAGGGGAGGGTTGGCGCCTTGAACTAGTTTAACCCCGCCACATTCTGTATGTGCCTGTCCCTAGTCAGGAGCCTGTAATTCAGTTGATGTCGTTTGTTGCTGTATATTATATTATTTTGTTTTTTGTTCATTATTTTGAACATAAATCAGGCTGTTAGTTTTCTCGTTTGAATTGTTTTACATTTGGCATTTCTGGGCCTTTAATAGTTGACTATGTGGTATGGGTTTTTCTCACTACTGAATGCCGTACGGTGAACTATAGTTGATAATTTCTGTGTCGTTTGGAACCTTTTGGAGAGTTTTCTCATTGGCAATCATACCAATCTTCTTATTTTTATATCAACTGCATTTCTTGTCTATTCGTTTGTCAATAAACGTAGGTCGTGTTCACACAGAACTTTTCGCACTGCAAATCTGTTCACAATGAATTTCATGTCATGAACACTGGTTTCACATTTTTTCTCGTTTGTAAATAGGTTTTAATTACCTGTACATTCCATAGAATTGAATTTAAAATTTCTCTGTAAACTTTTGTATCAATTAGATGCAAACCAATTCATAATTGTATGATTATTCTTTTATTTTTTACAAATTTATTTTTTAAGAAAAATATATTTGTTCCAAGGGGGAAGTGAGAAAAATTGTTTGATTCCATTGAAAATAGAGGGTGAGGGTTTCAACATGGATTTAAAAAAATGTTATTAAAAATAAAATGTTTTGTTTATTTATTTAAGTAATAAAAAAGAAATAATAGATAAAAAAAAAATTTTGAAAATGATTGATTGATTGATGTTGGTTGCAAAAGTCTAGTGGCAAATATTTCATGCATGTTCAAGACGAACACAAATTCATGGTACCTGCAACTGATAGGTCCTGTAATAGAGGCCGCCCAAGATGAAGATTGGGTCAATTTGGACTGCTATTAGAAACTGAGAGTATATTAGATTGGGACAGAAATTTTGCCTTACAACAGGCCACCTAATGATCCCTCAGAGTCGTATCAAAGGTGTTTAACATGCTGATAGTGTAGCAATCTCTTTTCCTGAGGCATCAAATTTTATGTCCCCATCTGACCAGAATTATTGGTATACTGAATATTCTATCAGCAAAAAAAAAAAAAAACCTTCCCATTGAAAATATAATGGTCCACTAACATGACTAAGGCTATTAAACTTAATCATGTTTTAACTGAGCAATTTTGGAGTTATGAAGATTTGTGTAAATGTTGTATCAGATTACTTTTGCTGTTGACAGCTTTTATCTTTTAATCATTTTTTTTAACCAGGTTTAATACACCATTTTCTTCATAAGAAAATGCCTGTACCAAGTCAGGAATATGACAGTTGTTATCTATTCGTTTGATGTGTTTGAGCTTTTGATTTTGCCATTTGATTAGGGACTTTCCCTTTTTGAATTTTCCTAGGAGTTCAGTAATTTTGTGATTTTACTTTTAGATAGAATTTGCCAAAAAAAAAAAATGAATTTGTGAGAAATCGTCATTTATTGTCAATAACTCCTTCAGAAGTCATCCAATGGTTGCAGACATTATATACATTTTGTATTACAGATTATTGGTCTTATTTTTTTTTGAAGAACAGAAAAAACATGACAATAAGTCAAAAATAGTTATTTATGGCTAGAACTCCTTATAGGGTCATTAAATGATGTCAGGTTATAATTATCATTTTTGAAAATCTTGTTTGCTGATCATTGTGGTTGTTTACATTGTCTAATTTTTTTAAATACTTTTTCCAAGTTTCCAAAATATTTTGAAGGAAACCGTCAAGTTCGGGATGTTTTCCCTCCTTTGACATAAATAAGAATGTGACGTACTATGTTTTGGTGGTATTACACATGTTACACCTAAAGAATACATTAATCATGTTGTAAATGTTAAATGAACTATATGTGATCTTTTTTCCTTTGAAATATTGGCTATTTCAAGAATACTATCAAATTTTGTCACAATCAGTTCAAATATTTAAGAGAAAATAGGTATAAAGGAGACAACATCATACAGCGAAATGAGTATAATTCCTTTTAAAATTCCAAATAACGCAGCATCATAATAGAATATCGCTTGGACTAATAAATGATCAAATATTCATCTCATTTCATAAAAAAAAACATTTGAATAGGATAGAAAATACTACTCGAAGATGATAAACATCGCAAATGCACCTGTCTGTCTGTATTGCAAGGTCTTTTTATACTTCTTCCATCAAATGTTCAACAAATTTGAACTGTTTATTCTACTATGTAACAATTAAAGGGTAAAAATCACAAATAAATGCTAGAAATTTGATAATAAATGAGTTATTGAAGTGTTTAAGGCTAAAGCTAAAAAAAATATCCCTATAAAACTGATTTCACGAACTTCAAGGTTTCCAGAAGTCATTACATAAATCTTAAATACGCTGCGTTCTAGAAAGGGACACATAATGGTTTCCTATTAGTCTCGACTTTTTCTTTTTACGATGGTCCGGAAAAGAAAACCATTGCTACATAGAAAGCTACATAGAAATAAATTCCATAGTAGGAAAAAATTAGGAAAAATCTCTGATTAGCCTTTATCCTTCAACTAGACGGGAAAATATATATCTGATAAACTTATTGAAGATGAATCTCGTGTTCCCAGAAGTAAAAGAAGATGATTTCATGATCTATAAATATATCTTTTGAAAAGAAAATGTTTTATGTTTATTCATTACAATGTATTAATAAAATGGGCCACAGATGATGCATCCGCACATCATATAAAGTAATAAAGGGACATAACTGAAGAACGGTAAAAGTGGCGCTACCCAGATTTGTACTTGATCTGAGTTTTGTGGTAAAAAGTATTCTGTATAAGTTTCATAAAATTTGGTTAAGGCAAACTTAAGTTAGAGAACAGAAACCAAATTCAGCAATTTTTCTGTTTATAAAGGGGCATAACTCTAGAACGTTAAACGCCAAATCTCAAACTTGATCTGTGTTTTGAGGTAATATGCATTGTGTATAATTTCATAACATTTGGTTGAGGCAAACTAAAGTGAGAGAACGGAAACTAAAAATTAAGCAATTTTTCCATTTATAAAGGAGCATAACTTTAAAAAGGTAAAAGTGACGCCACCAAAATTCAAACTTGATCTGTGTTTTATGTATAAGTTACATAACATTTAGTTGAGGCAAACTAAAGTTAGAGAACGGAAACCAACTTTGAGACGTACGGACGTACGTTACGTATGTACAGACGGACCAGGGTAACATTTAATGCCCCCTCCGCTACGGCGGGGTCATACAAAAAATTGTAGAATTATCATAGACAACAATGGGGCAAATTGATTTTTTTTGTTAGAAAGAAGGAAAATTAAAAAGAAAAACATATATTTATGTTAGTTGGCGAAAAAAATTGAAAGTGGCGAAAAATATATTGTTTTGGCGAAATAGGTGGCGAAAAAAGAAATTGACCAAGGGGAAACCCTGCTTATTACTTACATGTATTGTTTTAAGACTCGACACACTCACAATATTGCATTAAATTTCAAAATTGAAAGTGTCAAAGGAAGAAAAAAAGTAAAATAACAAAAATACCAACTCCAAGGAAAATTTCAATCGGAAAGTCCCTTATATATATATATCTTTATTCTCATAAAGCCAATGCATGACATCAGTACAGAGATAACAAAAATAACTTTTTACAATATATACAAAACAAGGAGAGAGGTTACAAAAGTCACTAGCCAGGAGGACAAATAAAAGTATTAATATTTTTTATAAATGAACAAAGCTTCTTCAGGACTGGTTTTTGTGTACTCGACATAAGTTCAGAGAATTTAACTGTATTATGTCATTGTACAAAATAGGAGGATAAATACTCTGTACGTTTTTGATAAAAATAGTACATTCAAATATATAGTGATATTGGTCTCCAATTTGTCGATTATTACATTGATCATGTTGATGCCAAACACGGTTTTCTCTTAATACGTTTTGCCTCCTTCCTGCTTCAATCGGCAATTTGTTATTAATCGTTCGAAATCGACAAAGAACAATGGCATCTTTAAAGTCCAAAATATTAAAATATTCCTCAAATTCCCAGTTTTTCTTAAAAATTTTGTAGTTGATACCTTTTGACGAATTTTGGATTAGCGAATTCCAATTCTGAAGAAACTGGTCTAACAATCTTTGCTTTATAACACTTATCAAATAGCAAAATCAAAACCTAAAACACCTAAAAATCTCCTAAAAATCTAAACAAGAGTGCACACGCTGAAATGTCTAGCCTTCTTTAATTACTAACCATTGATATTATGTTGATTGACTTAAATAGAAAGCTTTACTATAACTATCACATAAACTTAACATGATTCAAGAAAATGAGGTCAATGTCATATAAATCAAATGAGAAATACATGTACACCTTACAATCGTTCAATACACTAAATATAGTTGACCAATTGCTTATAGTTTCTAAAAAACAGACTTAACCAAGAAAACTAAACATTGACCAATGAACCATGAAAATGAGGTCAAGGTCAGATGAACCATGCCAGGCAGACATGTACAGCCTTACAACCCTTCCATACAACAAATATAGTTGACCAATTGCTTATAGTGTAAGAAAAATAGACCAAAACACAAAAACTTAACACTGAGCAGTGAACCATTAAAATGAGGTCAAGGTCAAATAAAACCTGCGAGCCTGACATGGGCATCATAAAACATTTCTGTACACCAAATATAGTTGACCTATTGCATATAGTATTAGAAAAATAGACCAAAACTCAAAAACTTAACTTTGACCACTGAACCATGAAAATAAGGTCAAGGTCAGATGACACCTGCCAGTTGGACATGTACACCTTACAATCATTCCATACACCAAATATAGTAGACCTATTGCATACAGTATCAGAAAAACGGTCCAAAACATAAAAACTATAACCACTGAACCATGAAAATGAGGTCAAGGTTAGATGACACATGCCAGTTGGTCATGTACACCTTACAATCCTTTCATACACCAAATATACTAGACCTATTGCTTATAGTATCTGAGATATGGACTTGACCACCAAAACTTAACCTTGTTCACTGATCCATGAAATGAGGTCGAGGTCAAGTGAAAACTGTCTGACGGGTATGAGGACCTTGCAAGGTACGCACATAACAAATATCGTTATCCTATTACTCATAATAAGAGAGAAATTAACATTACAAAAAATCTTAACTTTTTCTTCAAGTAGTCACTGAACCATGACAATGATGTCAAGGACAATTGACATATGACAGACGGAAACTTTGTAACATAAGGCATCTATATACAAAGTATGAAGCATCCAGGTCTTCTATCTTCTAAAACATAAAGCTTTTAAGAAGTTAGTTAACGCCACCGCCGCAGGATCACTATCCCTATGTCGAGCTTTCTGCGACCAAAGTCGCAGGCTCGACAAAAATGGAAAACAACTGAGTGCAGATTCTCATTTAGTAGAAATACCACCAGTGTTTCTCCTATTAATCTCTGTTTAATTGGCATTAGTTATTAAGTATTCAAATTTACATTTTTTTTCAAATAAAGAAATATATGGCAGAAATACAGTTTTATCTCGTCCAGTACTACAGTAAACATTTTACACATTTCCTTCAATAAATTAAATACCTTTCCCCATTAGTAAACAAAAGCAACTTGTCACCCCTTTTTCCTATCAACAAGCTTCAGTAACCAGGTCACTTAAAGTGTCAAAAACTTTTTGTAGGAACACAAAAAAAAGAATTAAAAAAATCCATTTAATGAAGAATGGGCATGTTCAATCCAATGCCACTTGAGTACAGCTTCATTATTGGTAATTTGTTCTCATCCGATCATATATTTGCAACTGAACATAAAGAAAACACCAAAAATCAATCTATCTGTTATTGTTTTCAAAATATAAGAAAATTAATTAATTTTATTCTTATGTTATAACTTAAGCGAAAGCAGCCATGTTTGTAGGCTGATCCGAATGAATAAAAACACAAACTTTATGCTAGACACCATAAGGATAACTCCGACCAAGTGTGGTTGAAATTGTGTTGGTACTTTCAGAAAACATCTTTGAACAAAAAATACAATGGACGACGGGCATTAGACCACAACCGACGCCAAGTGAAGGATAATGCTTACATGGCCTTTTTGGGCAGGTGAATGAAAAAACACTTGTCTTTTACACAGGTGCTAAAACATAAAAATGAGGGAAAAACAATGGACTAATGTCAAATGGAAAGTTCAGAACATGATGCATTTGTATACACATATGAAGAATCCAGTGTTTTTTTCAAACAAAATATAAAATTTTATACATCGAAGAAAAGCCCCCGCACCTTCAGATTAGCATCCCTATGCTTCAAATTTGACATCAAAATAAAAAAAAAGGAAGGGAGATGTATAGAATTGATGATCGATTCTTCTGTGCCAAATTTATATTCCAGTAAATATTAAAATGAATGATATTCAAAAAAAATATCTAATTCCTGTCACATGTGCATGAATTTGCCTATTTCATCAGTGGCCAACTTCATATGTCTCTGTCTATTGATGGTTTTAGATTGACGTTAGCCCAATGTTGAACATATTATGGTTATTGTGACGCTATGTGTTTCGGTTCCCTTTATATTTACTCAGCATCTCATTTTTTTTAATCTATTTTTTTATTTCTTTTTCGACAACAAAGTAAGGCAGGAAAAGGCGTTTAGTGTTTATAATACATAGTTTCGGAAACATTTATTGTGAATATCATATACCTCTCTCAAATTGCGTTTACTTGGTGGCTCTTCAGAAATATTTGAATAATCTCTCTTACCACGTTTGACACTGACACGCACCTGCAATTAATACATCCTGTTTAAATATACAAAACATAATATAATTGGTAAACCTTGAGAAATTATTCAATTTTGACAGAAAACTTAAGCAATGTGGATGATACTTATCCTTTCTGCTCACTCTATTTGTTTGGACAGATGAGTAATAATTCACATACAGGGATCATCATGTATTGGGCTGTTTTGTAAAACAAAGTTTGGAAAACTCATAGTAACTCTGAAAGAAGTAAAAGAATGTGTATTGGGCGATAAACAAATGAACAAGAGGTAAGCTAACTAGACTCATGAGATATGAAGGCCAATGTAACTATCCACCTGACAACAAATGGAGTAGATGTAAGCAACAATTGGTCGCCGTACGACCTTCAAAAATGAGCAAAACCAATACTGCATATCAAGCTATAGTAGGTATAATTTCAATGAGATTTGAAAACAACACCATATATATTTCATGCGTTTTTTCTGCTTTTACCTTCAAAGGATGATTAAGAACCGAAACAATCCGAGATATGTGACCAAAATGGACCTAAAAATAGCCAAATCCATCTAAAGTCAACTTTGAGGGAGTTGAAACCTAACATTTTTTATAATTTCAAAATTTATTAGCTGACAATTTTAGAAAATTCTTTCTAAATTATTAAATAATAATTTGATTACAGACTTTCTGTTTTGAATTTTCCTCAGAGTTCGGGCCATTTTGAATTTCTAATATACATCTCAATCTACTATCATACAATGAAAAAAAAAATAACATAAAAAAACCAACAAAAAAAAACAACAAATAAAACATAAAATGGTCAGATTAATCATGCAAGGGCATATACAGCCAAAAGAAGTCTGCTAACTAGTTTATAATAATTTGCTGATTTATTTTGCTGTTTACAGTTTCCTTTTATTCTCTATAGTTTACGCCAATTAAAAGAAAACTTTGGTAACGAGAGTCTTCAATGAGCCAGAATCACTTGCATGATAAAATATGCAACGTTATGCAACATAAAAATGATTAGCAACAGTGCTAAAAACTTGATAAACATTGTCTTTTAAAGGCAATTGTTCCTAAAAGCTGGAGGTTTTAAAGAGTCTGTGTCACTGACCTGGATTAATGTGCATTTCCAACACTCACTTCATTTAAATTTTAGTGGATAGTTGGTAATCATACCACATCTCCTTAATCTTATGTTGAAAACTAGAATATAATTCATGATTCAGATCTCTATTGTTAATCTTGTAATACTGTGAACTTTATGTTTCCACTTTCACTCTATCTACCTTAATTTTTTTACTCCAAATACAAATGGGCGAAGATCGTCATACAAAAACAATAACTTCTATAATACGTGAACTGATGGTCTCGACTTTGTTGTTTGTAGATCGTGTCTTCCTGATCCTTTTGTCTGTATCTACTATAGTGTTTTACCACAATCTGAGTTATTGCCCTTTAATGATGATTCATCATTAAAGGGCAATAACTCCTATAACAAATGTATATAGATTCAACTGAATACTACAGCCGAGCTGTTATATTTGCAGATTGTGGCTAAGTTCCTATTAGCCTAGTAATTTCAGAGCAGAAGATTTATATAAAAGTTAACAGACAACGAGAACGACAGATGACGACAAATGACTTACACCAAGTGATGAAAATAGCCAATATGATCCTTTTACCGATAAAACAATATTCAAACATATTTACCAAGATGTTATATGATATCATTTAAGAAGAATTTTATTGAAAGGATCAATACTTTTACATGGATCGTATCTAAATTTACATGCTTAATTAACAGCAGTACCGTAAAAATTAGGATGTGATACATTTGTATCCTGTTTTTGAATTGTACAGTTACAGCCAAACTCTAAATTCAAATGATTGTCTCTGGTGGCCATGATTTTGTCCGATTAGAACTAAATGAGGATTATGTGTACGTCATCTAACATTCATTATACCTGTTCAGTTTCATTGCAATTTATTAAGTGGTTTTAGAGAACATATAAAATGTGAATGGTTACAATTGGCAGATCACATATGCTGAGTGCTTTAAAATAGCTCACACAGCCTTTAAGGCAAGGTGAGCTAAAATTATTCGTGTGAAGCAGCTTTATTATATTTAATATATACATTGGATTTTCCTTAATGATCTTCATTTGAACAACAACTAATATATATATAGTAGCTCTGGTCAATTCAAACATAATTGATAGCATACCTGTCAAGTGACCCGTATCCTGCGGGTGTGACCCAAGATTTTTACAACTCTGAGGGGTCACCCAGGATACCCACCGGGTCGTTAAATAACCCGGGAATTCCGAAAATAACCCGTTTTCACCTGGATTCTTAAGCCATCAGACTGATTTCATATCTTATAAAGTGATTTTCCTTTGAAATACGGGCAAATTCGTAATTCTTCCCGGACAAGAAGTTCAACTAGCTGTATAAACTCAAATTAAGTGACCCATTTCAGTGCATGGCTTCACTTGACAGCTTTGGTGTCAAACACACTGTTAATTAACACCAATTACCTTAGCTTCACAAAAAATTTGAGTTACTTCCCCTTTTTTGTCTACTTTCAAAATATACTCCTTAAATTTATGTTTATTTTTGTAAAAAGAATTAAATCTAAGACAAATTGAATGCAAATACATATTAGAATGTTACTTTTCATTATTTTTCTACCTTAGTACAATTAGAAAATAAATAGTTGAAAATTATTTTTTCATCTCTACTTCCTTTAAATGTTTAACTTTTTTTTTTATTATACTCTATCAACCAGTCTGGAGATAATATATAAAGCTGTTCAAATAGATGCACCCTGAGTGTCTTCAGACTGTTGACCTGATTATAATCAACAACAAGGGGTTATGGCTTGGCTTGAGTTGTTAAAGTATTTTTTGAAACATTAATCTATCAAAATCAAAAGTGCATTGCAACAATAATAGTTTTAAATTATTTTCAGTTAATATTTAACCATTGGAACATGTTTTGGAAACTGTTTGTTTAAAACTATAAAAAAAAATATGAAAAAAAAGTCCTCTAAATACTTAAATTCAGCTGGAAAAAAGTTCGTACGCATTATGACCTGAGATTTTATTCTTCAATGAAGGTCATGACCTGCATTTACATTTTCATAGGTTGACAGGTATGTGATAGTAACAAGTATCGACCAGTGAAAAATGTTATTGATGCTATTATGATTAATCTAAAACATCCTACACCATTAGTTACACAAAATTACATATATTTACATAATACTAGTTTATACATGTATGTTTTCAACAGTAGAGTGTTACCTTTGTGGATGTACTTTGGATTTGACTTGTGCTCTCTATGCAAGAATAAGATCCTCGAACATGTTGAGTTTTTTCAGAAATCTTGGTCAGCTAAAACAAATTACAAAATAGTTACCACTATTGAATGTTCATTACTCTACTTAAATTTGTAAATCATTAATGGAACATATATAACAATATACAATGTTATCTCGTTGCAGCAATAATCTTAAACTACAGGAATTTAATAAATTGCAATTTCCCTGCGTAAATAACAACCTTAAGGAATTAAATATCCCTTTGTACTTTTCTTTCATTCACTCACTCATCTTGCTCGTACGAAATTATAAAGCGTATTATATATCCAGGCGTAAGCCAGGCGTATGTGGTAGTTACGTGTCCAGATCCAGGCTTAAGGGAGCAGGAAACGTAAATTTGTAGCAACTACAGGTACAGGCGTAGAAAAAAGTGGTAAACCTGGCGTAAATTGAAATAAGCAAGGCATTAATTTTCCTACGGGCGTAAAACTTTTGAAAGGGCGTAAATCTTAATACCCATAATGCTTTGTTTAAAGGATCATGGGAATTTTTTTCAAAATGTGGCTCTCTGGTAATAGTTTGCAAGAGTTGAACATATGACAGCTTGATATATTCTGGGGAAATTAGCTTTTTGTGCTTTTTGGAAGATTTGAAATTGGAATTATGGAATCAAATTGATGAATGAAAATAGTGAAAGGAAAGGAAAGTAGTATGCATGGTAAATAATAAGTGATAGTAACCAAGATATTAAGCTTTTATATTTTAACATTTCATTTCATGAAACCCTCATCCTTGGATAATAACATTTAAGTCTTTCACAAGATAAATTGCAGTATGATCATTGATTTTTTAGTTCAAATGACATTCATTTTCAAAACAACTTAGTCAAAATGCTACTTTTAAAATTAATTGTCATAATTCTTATTTAAACTTAAAATTATTCGAGCCAGTGACTGTCTAAAAAAGTATTTATCTATATAGCTTCTTCACTGGTTGATATTTCAAGTTTTATGTCAAACAATGAGAAATTTAACAGTACAAGTTTGTATCAAATACACAAAGTACACAGCTAGAGTAATACACTGATTTAAATTCAGTGTAGTATTATGTAAGAATATTACGCCTGGTTTATTTATTGACCAGGCGTACTCATTTGCATATTACGCCTGGTTTTCTGTCGACCAGGCATACTCATTTAAATATTACGCCTGGTTTTCTGTCGACCAGGCATACTCATTTAAATATTACGCCTAATTTTATGCCTGGTTTCCGCCTCAGTTACGCTTGGTTTCCCCCTGGTTTCCGCCTGGACATGCATTCCTTAAACAGGGCAATGACGCCAGGACAAAGTATGATTTCTATGCCTGGTTTCCGTGTCATTTACAGGCGTCACATTTTGTACAGGCGCAGAGCATGACTATATAAACTATATGTATGTCAATCCTATGTGAACTGTAATCACACGAATAACTAAACAAGCAAAATTTAAAAGTCATTCAAGCATGACTAAAGGTACATTTTGCTTAAATTGGAAATTATGAAGAAATTCTAACAACATCCACAAACTAAATATCAATTGTCTAGTGTATGTTAGTCTTCAAAAATATACCAAATCAATAAGGTTAACCAAAGCAACTGAAGCCTGACTGAGGGGACATAGCCATATATTCTCTTAAAAAACATAGTAAACATACAGATATTGGTGCCAATTTAATACAAAAACACAGGTAATATAAACTAGAGGCTCTAAAGAGCCTGTGTCGCTCACCTTGGTCTATGTGAATATTAAATAAAGGACGCAGATGGATTCATGACAAAATTGTGTTTTGGTGATGGTGATGTGTTTGTACATCTTAATTTACTGAACATTTTTCCTGCTTACAATTATCTCTATCTATAATTAACTTGGCCCAGTAGTTTCAGAGGAGAAGATTATTGTAAAAAATTACTAAGATTTATGAAAAAATGGGCAATAACTCCTAAAGGGGTCAACTGACAATTTCGGTCATGTTGACTTATTTGTAGATCTTACTTTGCCGACATTTATTGTTATTTACAGTTTATCTCTATCTATAATAATATTCAAGATAATAACCAAAAACAGCAAAATTACCTTAAAATTACCAATTCAGGGGCAGCAACCCAACAACGGGTTGTCCGATTCATCTGAAAATTTCAGGTCAGATAGATCTTGACCTGATAAACAATTTTACTTCATGTCAGATTTGCTTTAAATGCTTTGGTTTTTGAGTTAAAAGCCAAAAACTGAATTTTACCCCTATGTTCTATTTTTAGCCGTGGCGGCCATCTTGGTTGGTTGACCAGGTCACGCCACACATTTTTAAAACTAGATAACCAAATGATGATTGTGGCCAAGTTTGGTTTAATTTGGCCACGTAGTTTCAGAGGAGAAGATTTTTGTAAAAGATTACTAAGATTTACGAAAAACTGTTAAAAATTGACTATAAAGGGCAATAACTCCTAAAGGGGTCAACTGACCATTTCAGTCATGTTGACTTATTTGTTAATCTTACTTTGCTGAACATTATTGCTGTTTACAGTTTATCTCTATCTATAATAATATTCATGATAATAACCAAAAACAGCAAAATTTCCTTAAAATTACCAATTCAGGGGCAGCAACCCAACAACAGGTTGTTCGATTCATCTGAAAATTTCAGGGCAGATAGATCTTGACCTGATAAACAATTTTACCTCTGTCAGATTTGCTCTAAATGCTTTGGTTTTTGAGTTATAAGCCAAAAACTGCATTTTACCCCTATGTATTATTTTTAGCTGTGGCCGCCATCTTGGTTGGTTGGCCGGGTCACGCCACACATTTTTTTAAACTAGATACCCCAATGATGATTGTGGCCAAGTTTGGTTTAGTTTGGCCCAGTTGTTTCAGAGGAGAAGATTTTTGTAAAAGATAACTAAGATTTACGAAAAATGGTTAAAAATTGACTATAAAGGGCAATTACTCCTAAAGGGGTCAACTGACCATTTCGGTTATATTGACTTATTTGTAAATCTTACTTTGCTGAACATTATTGCTGTTTACAGTTTATCTCTATCTATAATAATATTCAAGATAATAACCAAAAACAGCAAAATTTCCTTAAAATTACCAATTCAGGGGCAGCAACCCAATAACGGGTGGTCCGATTCATCTGAAAATTTCAGGGCAGATAGATGTTGACCTGATGAACAATTTTACCCCATGTCAGATTTGCTCTTAATGCTTTGGTTTTTGAGTTATAAGCTAAAAACTGCATTTTACCCCTATGTTCTATTTTTAGCCGTGGCGGCCATCTTGGTTGGTTGACCAGGTCACGCCACACATTTTTAAAACTAGATACCCCAATGATGATTGTGGCCAAGTTTGGTTAAATTTGGCCCAGTAGTTTCAGAGGAGAAGATTTTTGTAAAAGTTTACGGACGACGGACGCAGGACGACGGACGCAAAGTGATGAGAAAAGCTCACTTGACCTTTCAGGTCAGGTGAGCTAAAAACAAATAAAATTACAGTGATTTTTAATTTATATTTGCTAAACATGCTAAACGAGTGCCTGTGGATAATATTTATGAATCAAAGGAATAGAGTAAGAACAAGTGGTCAAAACATGTTTTATAATTGCAAGAATGACTTCTAGACTAATATATTTAAATGATGCAATAACATGAATAAGATGAAATCTTTCCTATCAAACAATTAAACTAATTAATTACCTTCATGGGTGCATGATCAGACCATTCATTGATATGTGTTTCTGTACACATCTCACAAAAATAATCTGCATCCTGCTCATAAAATCCTGTCACACAGTCCGGTTCTGCAAGGCCACATTCACACTTTTTGTCAAATTTTACAGTCGTCATTTGGAATCTTTTACTTATTATAGTGTTTATTTCTTCTGTGACAAAATCATCAATGTCCTTGAAAAAACATCTTTCAATGTTACCATGTTTCCCAAAATCCCAAACCTGTATCTGAATAACATTTGGATATGTCATCACAAGTAATTTTGAAGTCTTCTGTAACTTAAAGACAACAGTTCCTCTGAAAAGAGCAATAGGCCGTTTTTTTTGTCCACGGACAGGCACTTCTGCAATTTCGTACTTTCTGCTCAGTGAAGCGATCAAATGATTCATTAAATGTCCTGGTAGAAATTTGAATTTGAAACATAACCAAGTGGATTTTGTACAGTTTTTTTCTGTCACATAAAATTGTTCGTTTATAGGACAGTCAGGTCCTTTTTTAACCATGCAAGGTATGTAATAGCAAGGTTTTGTATCAGTGGCATCTCTGTCTGATATAGTTGGACGTATTATAATATCAAATTTCTCCATGACTTTCAGTATATGATCTTTATGTTGAAACACGTTTTGCTTTTCCTCAAATTTAAATATTTTCTTATTTGTTTCTAATATTTGGTCCAAAACCACACTATGTAATATTCCTCTAATATTTAAATCATTCCATTCATCCGTAAAAAGATGCCGACTGGGACCTGATTGAAATTTCTCTGCTGTTATTATACATTTAAAAGTATCCGACAACCATTGAGTATCTAAAATGATATAATCTGGAAGATCCTCAAAATAAACCAAATCTCTGAGTTCATGATGAAAATTTAAATATAACATAAGTTCTTCATGGTTTAATGGATTTGGTGTTTCAGTAGATATTTGCTTAATTTCATTCAAGGTAATAATTGGTAACTCCTTCTTTTTCTCTCGTAGACATTTTTCCAACTGAATAAATTTAATAGGATAGTCTTTATTCCACGTTTTCATTGTTTTGGCTAAGTTCAAGAGATTTTGTCGTATTAGCTGGAATACACTAGAATTATCTTCTGTGTTTGAAATAAAGTACTCGTACTTATCACTAATGTGTCTTCGTGCATCAGCTGAAACATCTTCAACATATTTATTAAGGCAATCTCTACATGCATCCTCAATCTAAAAAATAAAGTCGTTTTCTTCAATAAGTCTATGACAAAAAACATAAAAGATATGTCAATGATTATTATAAATCAGAGTACCGTTTAACAATGAGGTTGGATATACATCACTAGACAATGATGATGCCCCCTTCTGTATGCACGAATATATGTAGTTCCACAAACAGTCTCGTGATTTTCCTTATTTTTTACTGATGCTTCATTTGTCGCCATTTTCCGCAAAATTAAATAAAACTTAGTTGAGTGATACAAGGGGTTGAAAGTATTACGAAAATATCTAGGGGGCAATAACAAATATTCAAGCGCAGCTGGATACAACCGCAGAGGTCCAACCATGAACAGTTTTACAGTCTGAAGTTGGCTTGTAATTAAATATTTGACACATTATAGGTTTCTGACACAGAATAAATGTAGTCAAAGAACTTGAAATTGGTTATTTGATTTGAATTTATATTCAATTGAAAATTTCTTGCTTTTGTGCAATGCACTGTGCTGTTGCGCAATATTTAGTAAATCTGTTTTCAGACTATATACAAAGAATTGTGACCCCAAATTTTTCTTTGGAAAATTGACAATTAATTAAATCTTGAGGAATAAAAATTGACCCCCCCCCCCCCCTCCTTTTTCCAAAAAAAAAAAAATATTTGAAGAAATTTTCTTTTTTATTTCATTTCATAAATCTTGAGGGAAAAAAAATGCCCCCCTCCCCCCAAAAAAATAATTTTTGTTTACCCCCTCCCAAAATTTCTTTTTACACCCCCCTCCTTTTTCCAAAAAAATAACAAATGCAAAAATCTTCTTTTTGTAAAATGTGGTACAATTTAAGCACTTAAACACAAGTTATTGTCTGAAAACTAGAAAAATGCTTGTTTTAGACCCTTTTTGGCCCCTAATTCCTTAACGGTTTGAGCAATTACCCCTCAAATGAATCCCAACCTTCTACTTGTGGTATTGAACCTTGTGGTACAAATTCAGAGCAAACAAAATACTTATACACAAGTTATTGTCCTGAACTTGAAAAATTGCTTGCTTTGGGTCCCTTATTCCTGAACGGTTGGGACCATCACCACCAAAAACAATCCCAACCTTTCGTTTGTGGTATTGAACCTTTTGATTAAATTTCATAGAGATCCATACACTAAAACTAAAGTTATTGTCCAGAAACCAAATGTCTTCGGATGACGACGACGTGATAGCAATATACGACGCAAAAAATTTTTTTGCGGTCGTATAAAAATAGACCGCTGTTTACCCAAACCCGACTCTACCCTGCCAGGTTTGGGTAGGTAGGTTGGAAAATCACTTTTTCCCCCAAAAAAATGAAAAGTTTGTACATGGAAACAAACACGGATATTCATAATAACTGTATTTTAATTGTAATATTTTTCTTACAAATATTCACTTAAACAAAAAGTACACAGTATGATGGAGGCCTAGGTGTATTGATCATTTTCATATTTTGAGAAGATTTAACATGTTGCATTTCATTTTTCGTGTTCCACGAGCCGCAAAACCTCAACAAATTGCAAATGATTCAAAATGCATTTTTTTTAATTTAAAAATGATTTAACAGGCAAACAGACGTCTAAATATTGAGTTTAATCTCTAAAAATAACACATGGCTAGAACTGATCTTATATTAAAAATACATATGTCTACTTTAATTTCCCCCTGTCTTTAAAAAATCTTATGGTCACAATTTCCTGCAAAAATCGTTTTCCGAATAGACCAATTTTGTAATTTTGTCATCCACCTAATTCAAAATGTTTATTCATTTTGTTATTTAAACTTATATGCCTATATTTTTCTTCAAAGAATTCAATTTTTGGAATAAACATCATTCATAATTGTCAGTTTAGATTTTTATTGGCATATAATCTATAAAATTATACAATTTCAAGTTGTAAAAATATAGACATAGTCAGGAACCTGTTGTTCAGTGGTTGTCGTTTGTTGGTGTGGTTCATAAGTGTTTCTCGTCTTTTTATAGATTAGACCGTTGGTTTTCCTGTTTGAATGGTTTTACACTAGTCATTTTTGGGGCCCTTTATAGCTTGCTCTTCGGTGTGAGCCAAGGCTCTGTGTTGAAGGCCATACTTTGACCTATAATGGTTTACTATTACTAATTATGGCTTGGATGGAGAGATGTCTCATTGGCACTCATACCACATCTTCTTATATCTATAAACTTTATTTGCTTGTCCCTATATGTACCCTTGTGTATCTTATTGAGTAAAAAACATTTTAAACACCTAAAGGGTATTATATTTGAATAATGATGAATATTTCTAAGAGTAGGTATAGAAAGTTATAAAGTTATTGATGTTAAAAAATAAAATTATTAAATTTCAAGTAACAAACAGCGGTATATCACTGTTGCCTTTATTTAACACAGAAATTGATCACTCCTTTCACAGTTATTATCTTTTAATTAGCACTCAAGTAATATTTTGATTTACTGTATCTATGTGTTGTTATGTTTAAACAAATATGCATGTATATGTTTATTTTTTAGTATTTACGCCTTGTTGCGTAAAAGAAAAAAGTCTTATTATTTTAAAGCAAAGTCAACGAGAGGCATAAATTCGAGTGAACTCCACATTGATTCATCCTCGGACAAAATATATTAGTATAAAAGTCACAGATTCGTCTAGCCCATTGAACACTTGCACTTTTAAGCTTCATTGTTTTAAGGGCGATCTTTTGGACAGATATTACGTTAAACTTTCTATCAAGATTATCGAATATGAAAAAGTCAACCTGCACACCAGATCCAGAGGTATTCCAAGTTTTTAAGTAAACGAACAGTAAACGTCCTCGGACAAAATATATTAGTATAAAAGTCACAGATTCGTCTAGCCCATTGAACACTTGCAATTTTTTTTTCTTCCCTATATTTCTTTTTCTTTCTGGCAACGAAAATAAGCAATCATTACTTCAGATTTTTTATAATTTTATTTGTCTTATAACTCGTGATATAAATGTTTCGTTTCAACACGAAATAGGACCAACTTGATTTACTAAATATGGTGAAAAACGCTAAATGCTGTAAAGGCAGTTTACATAAAAGGTTTTGTGATTGATTATAATTAAACAAATTCCTTTTCATGAAAGGCTAACAACATCAGAGATTTAGATAGTTTTCAATTATTATGGCTTGGAAATGGTAATGCTGCATTACATTTCCAAAGAATATATTATTGCATGAGTATATGACTGTACTACTAACTTTTAAGTTTTACCGACTCCCAATTACTTTGGATTGACTTTTTCTAGAAACAAATTGAGTTTGATTTATACTCACGAAAGTGTAATTGAATATTTTATGGTCAATTTTGGTTTTCACTATTTGTTGTTATTCATATCTCGAGTTAAAAATAACACACTCCATTTTGTCGTGATGGCTTGGTGTGAATTTATCTCAAGAACATTCAGTTGTATGATGCATCTTTAAGTGTCCACTCTTTCTACGAATAGTTTTTCACTCAAAAAATTACTCAAGCAAATTTAATTTCCGAGTTAATAATTCCAAGTATGACTCCAATACATTTTTTCTTTCCTAGTAATGTCCATGCCAAATCATTGTTTGTGATTATCAATGTCCAACTCTGCGAAAACCTAATACTACCATATGTATGTTTGTCTGGTAACTTTATAAGGATGTAAATATGGTTCAGATATCGATTGAAATTACGGTTGGATTACGAAAAGTCTTATATTTGTTCTAGTGGCTGTATTCCGGATTTTACCATGTACTTAGGTTTACTAAGGAGTATATAAATACCAACTTTAATGTTCAAGCCAAATAAGCGTGAGATAATTGTGATGGATTTTATAAAAACAAAGCATCATGGATGTTGTGATTCAGCCAATTTTGTATCTAGTCTGACATTTTTTTCTGACATACTTTCAATAAGTATTTTGTTATCTTTATTTCCATAATCTCACTGTAACATATCTATTCTGTTGCCAAAAAATGAAGAATTTTGCAATATTGGTGCACATTATTTTGGTATTTTAATTGAAGACACTGTTTGAAACACTTTTTTCAGAAACATTTGAAATTCAATGATTTTGACAAGAATCTTCAAATGTATAGCATATTTTCATATGCCATTAATAATAATTTGCTTAATAATTTCCAGAAAGAGGCATTAAAAATGCAATTTCTCAACATCAACAAAAATAAATAACTTACTTTTGTATAAATTGGTGTTCATTTTTCATTAAGGATTATGTACTCTTGTGTTGATTAAATGCTAAACATATGGAAATTTTATAGAAAATCCACAGCCTTTCCCCTTGTACTCTCATATTTGGCAATTCCGTGCTTGAAAGATAGGGGATTATTGCATGCAGTGCTAGCAATGATTTCCTTAAAACAAGTTTATAAATTTAGATATTAGTTAAAACAAAAATAAATATGGACCAATTCAAGTACACCCTCTAGGGTGAGCTCGACTTTAGTGACTCAGCACGAGGTTTTTATGAATTTAAAGGTTGTATAGGTTTTTTTGTAAACAATAAATGCTAGCACATCATAGAAAAACAAGTGAGTAATCTATGTTTAAAATTTCACGACTAAAATCTCTTTTTTAATGTCTGTGGATTTTCTACAAAAATCTTGGTTTTATTTGCCACAAAATCCCATTTTTCTATCAAATGCAATGAAACAATAAATAATAATGCTTTGCAGGAAGTTTCCCCTTGGTGTATGTACACAATGGCCCATCTCTATTATTCATTATTTTTGCTGTCTTGATACTACTGCAGTTTGAAAATTTCGTAATTCACATGGCTACAGAAGGGGTCATAAACCTTAAGGTAAATATACATTTTCTGTATTCAAATATACATGTACAAATACCTAATGCTTATATAATTCCAATTACTGTTAAATAGCAATATAATAGGGAATATTCACATAAAAGTATGGCAGAAAATGCTCAGGTAAGAGTTATGTAATTGTGTTTATTGCTTCCACCAAATTACTGATAA